TCCTGCTAAACTCAACGGTGTATAATCTGAAACATTCCGATGTTCACGATTAGCACCTTTTTTCAACAAAACTTCAACAACATCCTGTCTACCACCACTGCATGCTAATGATAAAGCTAGAAAGAAACAAGAGACTTGTACAAAATAATGGATAAAAAACACTTGTCGATTATTACCTGTATCTTTTGTTCGCTCGGACTGAGCTTCCACATTTGCACCGTTATCAAGTAATATGGCAACGATTGACGAATGACCGGCTGTAGCTAAGAAATAACGAAAATGATTTCAATAATACGTAAATGAATCAGAAAATTTTGAATTTACCTGCTAATATTAACGGTGTAAAACCTTTTTTATCACGATGCTCAATATTGGCGCCACGCTGTAGCAATAATAGCACAAGTTCTTCATGACCCCCAGCACACGCCAATGTCAATGCTGTATCATGATTACTTTCTGTTTCACAATCAACATCAATACGATTACCTACAATCGATCAATGCTCACATTATGTCTGGTGTAGCTATGCCTTTTCTTTTTGCAATACATACCTAGTCTTAAATAACCTGCTGACGATGCTGGCGTTGTCTGCTGTGGTTGATTTTGTTTAATACATATCGGTGTAGAAACTGATTGATTCGTCGAAGTAGCGGGCAGTGGAGGACATTCAGCACAACAATGTTCCTGCAGCTGTTCTATTTTTAAAGCAACATTAGTCAATTCTAAATCGGCGCAATCGAGAATTGGATGGTGATAATTTTGATGATTTGGTGAAATGTGTTGTTGAAAAAGCGGCTGTTGTTGCGCGATAACTGGTGATGGTGGCGAAAATGTTTGAATATGGTGTTGATGTCCATCCTCGCATGAACATCGAGCAACAGGATTTTGATCATTTGTCGAAGGAAAATAGGCTATACTATCAGCTGATGTATTTAAATGGCATGAAGTTGACGGATCTTGAACAAGTGGAGACGTAACATCAGTCGTCAGAATTGTTTGATATAGAGCTAAAATGGAAGCACGAATAAGCGAATCTGACCTATTTACTAAGATTTTTGGGAGTGTTATCTTTTCTGCTATATCCGTTCACGCAAATCTTCGAAACTTACTTGAAGAATCAAATTCATCGTTTTCAACCGGTAAAGGATATAAATTAGAAAAAGATCTTGATTGTAGAGTTGTATCCAAAGAAGGCATCAAATTCGAACCCATGATAGGATTCTGTTCGTAATGCTGCTGATCACCGTATGATGTAGTTTCAACAGTGTTATGCTGCTCAGATTCACTTGTAATTCTATTATGCTGTTCATTCTGCTGCTGCTGCTGCAGCTGTTGTTGTTTCAAATTGGCTGGTGTAAAAGGCGGTAATGTTCTCAACTGGTCAATAAATGATTGATTTGCAATTTTCTTAATTTCTTGAATGAAATTTGGATTATTTGCTAATGTCTGTATCCGTTCTAAAGCTGATGGATTACTAGCCAATTCTCTTAGATGTTCTAATGCTTTTTGTGTATCGGTATTAATTTGCATTGGAATTTTATTTGAATTAGCCGGTGATGACATTTGCTGTAATTTTGTTGGTGAAGATGAAGGAGTCGTAGGTATAGTTGTTGTACATGTCAACGGAGTAGCAGTCAATAGCATAGCTGTTGGACCAACGCCATTTGCATTTTTTGTTTGTTGTTGTTCTTGTTGTTCGGGCGGTAATAGCTTTAAGTTTTTTACAAGATCATTCATTTCAATAAGATGATGCTGATTATCATGTAGATGTTGTTCTAAACGTCTATCAAATTTTGTCAATTGACGGTTAAAAGACTTTTTAACTTTCGGATGATGTGAATGACTATTAGTGGAAGATTCTCCACCAGTTGTTGTCCCATTTGTCGAAATGTTTTGTTGATTTATTGTCCAATTTGGTCGTATAAATGATGATGAATCGAATACTGTTGATGATGGTGTAGATATTGACTGTTGTAAAGACGAATCATTTTGTGAAAAAAAATTAATCATTGAAGGTGTATTTTGAACAGATTGAACAGGATGGTGCTCATTCGACGATGTCGACGAGGAAGAGGAAGTGGAAGATGACGATGTTGTACGCTTCTTTTTTCCACTCATATAGTCATTTACTTGTTGCCGATATTCTTGATTCATTTTTAACTGTTGCTGGGCTTTATCGTGTAATTCTAAAAACAAATTTTGACAAAATACAGTGTAAGCCATTCGTTAAGCCGACTGTCAATACTAAAAAGAGAATAGTCAATTTTTACCTTTTTCAACATATTGTAGACGCTCAAGTAAATAAAGCTTTTTAGATTGTTGCTGTTGCTGTGCTGACGGTGATAAGGTTGTTTCGCATGGTGACGAAGAAGATATTGATGACTGATTAGTTGTAACAGAAAACGGTTGTTGAGTTTCAGACGAAATGGCTTTAGGAGATGAAGATCGATAACATTGTTGTTGGGATATTAAATCATCATCTTCATTAGGATTGTGAGTTGGTATTTGCCAAGGGAAAGGTTTTGGACCTAAAGAAAAAATACATTAAACAGAATGTTAGGTTCGTTGTCTAAGGCGAACAATTTCAAAATAGATAATAAGAGTAAGAGCACCTTTTTGACTTTGAAAATGGTCATATTTTCTTGAGACGTTTTGTCTTGATTCAAAAGACATGTCTTTAAAAAAGTAAAAATATTGCTCTTACTATCTATATTAAAAAGAATATTTTATATAAGTAGAAAGAAAAGTGCTTACTTGATGGTTCTGCGATGCCAATAGTCGCAGCATTATCTAATGATTGCAATAACAGTGCATGTTGATTGGTATCTATTCCTCCTGCAGGAGATGGTGGTGGCTGAGCCGCAAAATGGAGTAGACTATTTTCATTTATTATTTCATTGACGGCTGCTGTTATATTTGGTGATGTAGTTAATTTTTTAACAATTTCGGCCATTCCATCTGTTGTTGTTCCTGATAATGAATCAACATCAACTGCACGTAAAACTTCTAAAATGTTTCTCGGTACAATACGCTCGAAACGTTCAGGAAGACTAAATGGTGAATTAGACGTTATTGTTGAAGTGGATACTGCGAGGTTAATCGCGCCACCTCCTCCAGCTGGTTGACGTAATTTATCTACTGTTTGTAAACAATCTTTCCTTGAATCTAAAGAAAATATGAAACACTGAAGTCAAAAGCTAAAAGAAGATAAGAAGATAATCTACCGTTTAGTTGTTGAAGAGAATTGGGAGAGTGAACTTGGGACATGGGTGGCATTGTTGTCTGTGATGGACGCTGTTGTTGTTGTTGTTGTTGTTCATTAATCAAAAACGAGGCAGAAATTGATAGTGAGTCATTGGTCTCGTTTGGCAACGGTGGTACACGTGGTGGTTCAATTAAATGACTATCTAATTGAGTATTATTATCAACTTGAAAATGCTGTTGAGAACGATTGTCGTTTACTGTTGAGGAAGAAGACGATGTGGAAGAACATGGTGGGTTCAGTACCACACTAGTCGACGATGGTAGTGGTCTTTGAAGCACACTTTTAGGATATTCGAGTAGTAACTGAACAATAGATGTATGACCACCTTTGGCCGCTTCAATCAAACAGTTAGAACGATCCTACGAAGAGAAAAAGTATTATTAATCCGCCAAAGCCACAGCGTTTTTTTTATTATACCTTTAACAAATGATTTGGATCTGCTCCATGTTTTAAAAGTAAAGAGGTTATTTCCATGTTTCCTGCAGCGCATGCCAATGATAAAACGGTGTGATCATTGTTTACTGTAGAACGATTTACATCAGCACCTTTAACAGAAATATATGCCTTTGTTGAATACATGAAGGGAACAAGTTTACCAAGCACATCAATTCAAAAGTGATTTCTCTCTCTCGCTCTCTCAATTCCCACCTTTCACTATTAAATATCGAACGGTACACGTATGTCCAGCTCTCGCGGCTTTCATCAATGGTGTCATATTTTTTTCATTCTCCGGTTGATCAATATTTGCACCAGCATGCAATAATAACTCGGCCACTTCTGTATGGCCTGATTCACAAGCATAGTGAAGACTCGAATCACCAGCAACCGTTGTTTGATTAACATCAGCGCCTATAAGTAGTTATGTCTCAAAATATACCAAAAATCAAAAATAAATCAACAAAAACCCACCACTTTGTATTAAAAATTGAACAAGTTCCGTATGTCCTTCTTGTGATGCTAGATGAAACAAATTGTTAACAAACTACTTTTTCGCCTCGAAGTATACGATTAAAATACCTTCCATAAGTGGTGAAGATTGTCCAATATTCACGTTTGCACCGTTTGAAATTAAAATTTTTGCTACATCAAGAAAACCACCGGCACAAGCCAAAGTTAATGCTGTTTCTTGTGTTTCTTCTGTTATTGTATTTACATTTGCTCCTTAAAGTAGAGACAAATATATTAATCATTGATTGTCTCTCTTTCTTTTATCAAATCATTTCAAGTGAATAGTTCAGTAGCATACCTTGTGATACAAGTAAAGTCACTAAATCGTCGTGTCCTTCTCTACTTGCTAAAATGAATAACAATAAATATATATTATATTCTGTTAAATAAATGAAATAAGAGCGTTATTTCGTACCTTCCATCAATGGTGTATAACCTTCATCGTTGACTTCTTCTAAATTTGCACCGCGTTCAATCAGTAATGAGGCTAATTCGATATGGCCGCCGCATGCAGCCAGTGTCAATGGTGATTCATAACTATCCGGTGGCATATTTACATCAGCACCATGATCAAGTAATAATTTAGCCACTTGAACATGACCATCCATACAAGCTTCCATTAACGCTTTAATAGACAAAGAGATAAAATGAGTTTTTATATCCAAAATAACATTCGTTCATCAATTACCTGTGTGCATTTCGTCTGTTTTGTGTTGTTTATCAGCTCCATGTTCTAATAAAAATTGTACCATATCTAAATGGCCTTTATAACACGAAAGTGTAAGAGCACTTTCTTTAAATTCGTTTGAGTGGGTGTTAACACCGGCTCCATGGGCTAATAATACGCGCGCTACATCTACATGGCCGCTACTTGCTGCCTCCATTAACGCTAAAAGAAAAATAATTCTAACAGACCTTGTCCATCAATTTTTTCCACTTTGATTACCTGTATGTCCATTTTCGTTTGTTTCTTCGACTTTGGCATTATTATCTAACAACAGTTGAACAATATCTGCATAACCCTAAACAAAAACAATTATTCAGTTATAAAGAAAATGACTAAATGGAAAATAAAATTTACCGCTGATGCTGCATAATGTAAAGCGGAATTTCCTGATGTTGATTGAATGTTGACGTTAGCATTATGTTGGAGTAATAGTTCGACAATATCATAATGACCGGCATTACATGCTTCAATAAACAAATACACGACATAACATTAACAGAAAAAAATTGAATTATAATGTGTACCTTCCATTAGTGCTGTACAGTCTCCTTTTGTACCTCTATCATCAATATCAATTTTAGTGCCTAATAACAACTTAACTAATTCAATATAACCACTACTACATGCTAATGCTAATACACTATCACCATCTTCATTAACGTCATTCAAATGATCTTTACCATTTGTTGTTTGTAATATTTTTTCTACTGTACGTAAATCATTATCGACACATGCACGAACAAATGCACCAGAACTAAAAATAAATAATCGTGAAGTTGGTTCAACACTAAACTTTTGCTTTTCATATGAAACGCGTAAAAATGAAATCGTAACTTGAAGTAGTCGCACCGAAGTCAAAAGCCAAGATTTTTATGTGTGTACAGTTCCAATAAAGTAGAACAAAAGACAAAACGATATCAAAGATATCTCTTGTATTTTTCAGAAATACTCCGATAGGATATGGTGTATGAAACAAAACAAATCTACCTGTGTAGAATGTAGAGTGTGTGTACGGGATGAAGTAAACAATAATAAATAATGTGCATTTTCCGATAGAATCCTTTGGTCTAGTTTCAGTTTGTCTGTCATGCTGAAGTAAACAGTACGTATGAAGTCATGCGTTTGTAACAAAAATATATAAATACTGCGAAGACAAAGCAGTAAATATAATTTACCATTAGTTTTTTTCGCTCTTAAGAGCTATGTGAAAACCTGCTCATTAGACAAAGTTTTCAGAAAGAACTAATTAAATTAAGTTTGCCTAACAACATTAGTTATATAGAGAGATAACCACTGGATGACATCAAATTAATTTTTTAGATTGATCTTAAAACATGCGCAGAAATGCAAAAAAGTGTTTCTCAGCATCAAAGTAAAGAGCACCATTTCCCAGTTAGTTATGGCAGTCTACTATTAATCCAGTTCGGCCAAGGTATTAAGCAGGTAAAATGGCATACTTTTTTGCAGATCCGCTAGTAAAGTAAATTACATTAATATACGAAATAGAAAGACGAGAAGAATAAAACTTAACAAAGTGCACATTACCTGTCTTTATTAGTTATGGTTTTATTTGACTTTTTCTTGTTCCTTGCAGGCGTTGTTGCTCCAGTCGGTGATATTCCATTCGTCGGTGGGACTAAACCGGTTCTGATCTCACTTAGTCCATTTAAATTATTTGTTACACTATTTGTCAGTAAACGCACAACTTGTTGATCACGCCAAAAATCTTCAGGAATAGGGGCGTTTGTTATTCCTAATATTGTAGAGAAATAAATAAATAGCGAAATTTTGTCTTCTATCAGTAAAACATACCTGTTGCTTCGAGAATTGCCGCTAGCTTCGCTTGTGTATCAGGGTCAATATGGCCAATATCTACATCGTCATTTAAACGTCGCTGTTGTAATGTTGTGAAATGTACATTTTCATCATCGTCATCCTCATCTTCATTATCACTGTTATCAGTGTTCTGAAAGAGCGAATAGATTTCTCTTAAAAATGAACACTTATGATCAATATAGCGACTCTCTACCTCAATATCTTCGTCATCGTCGGTCAACATATTGTCATGAAACCGTGAAACACCAACAGATATTATAGAAACATCG